TTGTTTAAACATTTGGACAAGCATCAAACAAGATTGAATATAGATTAAATATTGACAGAGTTTTGTTGGTGGAACTGAAAACCGGATATTAGAACCGAGGAACCGCGCGTTGTGTGGTGTTCAAAACGGTAATAATTCGTGGGAGACCGGGATTGTCACATATTCCTGGAAACGTGATTTAATAATGCTTTTAATTCGACTGTGATTTTTGAAATATGAGATGTATTTTGGACGTTGCGTAACTTTTATTATAATTGAAATCAGATTCAGCTAATACAGTTTTTTATAAACTAATTCCTTCTTACAAATTAAGATGAGGCGAATTTTGTACTAATTAACTTACAATTTTAAACTATTATTATTAATTTTATAATTAAATTATTAATTAATTGTCTTTAAAATCACACTTTACATTTCATTTTGAAGGTTTTCACTGAGGTGACTTTTAAGAATACAATGCTCTGGTTTGTGATACCGTGTAGTTAGGAGGCAGCCGGATGTTTCGGAGGAAAAAATGGTATCTGTCTTCAGGGTTGAAGGGTAAGCCAAGAAATCAGATCAGCTGAAACAGGCTAGATTCCCGGCATACTCTTCTACCCTGAAAATGGTGGCGATATGTTCCTCCGAAACGTCAGGATATCCAAAGCTATACGTAGATAAAATACAGCAAACCATGTTTTTCATTTCGCTACACTAACAAGGTTTACTCATATAACAAATTAACCAACTTCATGCAGCCGAGCCCTTCTTGACAAGCCGACAGTTGTGCATCTACTCAAGAATTTCCCAGCATTTCATGGAACCCGTAGGTTCTTTACCGTGTTCACAAGAGCCCTCCACTGGTCCCTATTCCCAGCCAAATCAATCCTGTCCATAGCACTCCATCTTATCTCTCTAAGATCCATTTTAATAACATCCACCACCTATGCCTTGGTCTTCCCAGTGGTCTCTTTTCTTCTGGCTTTCCCACCAATATCCTATATGCATTCATCGTCTCCCCCATTCGTGCTACATGCCCTGCCCATCTCATCCTCCTTGACTTGATCATTCTAATTATACTTGGCGAAGAGTAAAAGTTATGAAGCTCCTCATTATGCAGGTTCCTCGAACCTCTCGTCACTTCATCTCTCTTCGGTCCAAATATTCTCCTCAGGTTTACTCATGTAACGTATTAATAATTTATAAACATTTGCGTAAAATGCGACAACTGTAATATAACAATTAATAATTAATTCTCTTAATAGTTATACTTTGATACATATTTTTTTAATTCTTGTAACGAATAACTCAGCCTCTGTCTAACAGAAATGAGTACCAGGAATCTTCCTGGAGGGTAAAGCGCGGCTGGCGCGTAAGGCTGACAACCTCACCGCCATCTGTTTCAAGGCCTGTTACAGGGATAACTTTATCTTTTACTTTTTTAACGAAAAACTAATGTTGTGGCTTTATATAATTCACGCAATCGGTGAGCGGGTTTCCATATCCGTAAAGATAGAGTCTCCTATTAGGGGAGGAGCTCGGTTTGATTCTTGGCAGGAACATGGAGGTTTTCCGAGACAACTACCGGAACTGTACCTCGATTAAGCCACGGCCGCTCTCTTCCAGATAGACTTGAAAGGATTGTGACGATGGTGTATACTGTACTTCTTTTGGCTTGTGGTCTTTTGTCTTTTACATACCAGACGATGGATGAAGTCCAAAACAAGCCGAAAGAAGTGCTTCATCTTTCATCTCACAATTTGATGTCCTAGAGTCCAGATTCTTAGAGTACCCACCTTTACAAGTTTCATCACGCAATTCCCTTTTTTGTTCATTTTTATCCTTTTTTTCATTAACAACGAATAGTCTTTCCCTTTGTGTTTGGGGTCCAGGATAGTTTATGACGGAGATGCGCAGTATTTCAACTCACAGTGTTTATGTAGTAGCAGCACATGTGTTATAGTTACCATGGTCATAATTGTATCTATCCGTTCTTCTCTTTAAGCTATTGGATAGCCGCTAACGCCTAACTCCTGGGTGGTTTGAAAATTCATTTAGTTTAGAGGCAAGTTGCAAATTATTGTGACAGAAAAATAGAACAATTTTGATTATTTCGAGAATCGAATATTTCCCACACTTAAGGACCCCTGAGAATAAATTACTTAATATTTTGGATTTAATATAATCATGTGATATACAGACGTATACGTTAGATGTCATTTTGGAGGTAACATTGTTTAGGAATGTGTGTTTATTTAATAGGTCATTAAGGCAGTGTTTTTGGACACACTCTCTCTGTTTCTCTCTATCTGTCTCTCTGTGTTTCCTGTTGCTCCCACTTTGGAGCATAGGGCATCCATGAAAGACTTCGTTTCACTTCAGTGTATTAATCTTAGTCGGTAGGACTCCTTGAATGGGGATTAGCACGGCGCAAGGCGGCTACCTACACAGAATAAGGCTGCGTCTACACGAGCGCACAAAATGCGTCCGTTATAACGAACGTCGTGACGTCCGTTATGGAAATAAACTAGAGAGGCGAATGCTACGCTTTCTTCTGGCTCCATTTCAGACAAAAAACTACGCACCCCATTCTGCTGTCCTCAGCAACGTCCGTCATAAAGTACGTTCGTTACAACATACGCATTTTATGGGCTCGTGTAGACGCTGCCTAACACGGGCGTAGAATAAACGCAGGCATCCATGTCTTTAGTGGTATTGGAACCCACGACTGCTCTGTTCAAGCGAGCGAAGATATTTTGTGCCTTAGATCGCGAGCCCACTGTGATCGCATCGTCTTTGGACTAGTAAGCTTAAGTTTCAGTCACCTGTTAATGTGTGTAAAAATAATACAGTATTAAATGTAAATAGTATAAGGTATACACGTTTGTGTCATATTTGTAGCTTATTGTTGAGAGATTTAAAGTAAAAGGAACACGTTAATTCAATTTATTAACTGTTAAGAAGTGGGTTCTATCGGAGTTGTGTATCTGATGTAGTGCTTAATATTATGAAATTAATCGAAAATAAAATATTTCTTTGAAGGAAGTAAACAAAGTAAATTTGAAGAAAGTCGTCTTCTGGTATCTGGCGCCGTGTATTCTTGGTTTTAACCGACGTTTCGGAGGAACATATTGCTTCCATCTTCAGGGCAGTTGAATTGCGTTGCGAATACAGAGAGCAGTAGCTGCAATGATTGGGAAGTGAAAAGCGCTAGTTTATATATGAAGTAGGGGGGGGGGGTTAGGAGAGGGGACCAATGGGAAGAGTGAACAGCGATTATGGCCTTATATGGTCAGGGGGGCGAAAGGGGGGGATACTGGCCAGTGAATCTAGGGAGCTTGGAGGTCAATGGCAC